TTTTTTTTTTTTTTCTTGAAGATATATACACTTTAGATTTATTAATATGTATTTTGAACAGTTGTTATTTATTGAAAATTTTTATAAAACTATATTAGTAATTTTTTAATACTGCCATCTATGTTAATATATCTGATAGAAGTTTATCAATAACTCTTATATTTATATAAAGGTAACTTTTATTTTTTAGTAACATATTCAATATTTTTAATTCTAATTACATTTATTGATTTTTCGTAGCCACTGTAGATATTTCACATCTACTACAAAATTCTTTTATTATATTATAAAATTTAAGAAAATTTACTTGAGAAAAGAATTTACGTGTCATATTTTAAGTATATTTTTTAACCTATTTTTTTAATGATAATAATATCACCAACTTACGACTTTTTCTTCTCCCCTTTTTCTTTATTTTTTATTTTTTATTTTTTATTTTTTTTATCAAATTTCCGAATTGCATCGATAGTTACATCGGAAAATAGTCGTTCTCTTCGTATTTTAAACGATGAACCACAGATAAGATTCTGATTCGAACATGTTTAGTAAATAAAATATTTTTAATGCTATTCGGAATTAAATTAACTGAACTGTCTTCTTTCTCGCTACGATTCTACGTTAGAATCGTATTTAAAAACATACCATAAAATCCAACATAAATATAAAATATCTATGACGAAATATAGTATGAATTCCTAGTTAGCGTTGCATAATTTTTTATATATTTTGTATTTGAAATCAATGTTACATTATTCGAAACATGTAATAAATTTACATATAAAAAATCCACTTGATACGTAATATGCAATATTGTGAAATCAAGAGCAAACCAGTTACTCGATTTTATGTACATATATTTGACGCAGCCATATTATATACGTAGATATAATATGGACAGTATAATATTACTACTATCCACATAAATCACCATCTCTTTTGTACTACGGATACGTTTATTATTGACTGAGTATTAAAGAATACTAATGGATCAATGTCAGGACAATGTGAAAACTAATTGTGAATACATTATACTGTATTCTCAATGTAGCTTGCATTTTGTTCATACCGCAGTGGGAGTATCGTACGTTATTTTTTCAATAATAGTATTTCATGTACATTGCAATGTAAAAAATTGCAAGAAAAAATAAACCAGACGTGTCAATGAATATGATGTTATGAATGAAG